GTGACTTTAGCCAGAGCCATTTCAGGGAAGGGACCCCTGCTTAGGGATGAGAGGAGGAGTGAGTGGGAGGAGAGGAAGAAGACAGGGAGTCGGCTTCAAAGTCTTTGAAGTTTGGCTGTGGAGGGAGGGACCAAGTTGGGGCAGTAACTGGAGGAGGGAAATGAGTGGAGGGAAGTGTTTTACTTTTTTCCTGTAGAATGAAAGTGGTGTGAGCATGTCCAAAGCTGGTAGGAAGGGCCCAGCCCAGGTTGGTGTTTGCAGAGCACAGCATTGGGGTCCAGGAACCTGGCTCTGACCCTCCTCCACATTCATGGTCCTGACCAAAGTACTCACTTGCCTGTGTAAGCCTTAGTTTTCTCATCTGCAAAATGGGCTTTATGGAGTTCTGGGAAATTAATGAGACAGTGCATGCCAAGTGCTCAGCAGGGATGTGAATGTTATTGTCATTGCTATTTCATTCTCGTCGGTCCTAACCGAAGCCATATCTAATCTTCTGGGTCCATTTCCTTTTAGGATTTCTTAGAACGGAATCTAAACATTCAAGGAGACACTGAAATGGACCCCTGGGGGAGCATGGGAATCCTGGAGCAGGATGACCTGTGGAGAAGGCATCCTGGGAGCTGTGAGGGGGAGTCCACAGAAGTCTCGGGAAAGTGCCAGCCTGCGCCACATCTCTCCGCCACCCGGGATAACTCTTCCATTCTCCATTTAGTGCTTGACACCAGGCACTCAGAGAGGGCGGTGAGAGGCAGGGCAGCAGCACAGCTGCGGGCAGGAGTGAAAGTCAGGCCTGGGGAGCGGATGGAAGTACTTGGGGCCCAGGAACCCTGTTTCTTGGGCTGTTGCTGCCTCCAGGGGGCCAGGAAAGATGGGTGATGCCTCCCGGCTCCTGCAAGCCCATCTTGGCTGCACCTCTTTCCTTCTTCAGCTTCTTTTCTCTTCCTCTTCTGCCCCTGATCTTCCCTCCTCCTGGCGCATGGAAGCTTCCGTTTATTCCTCTCCTGTTTTCCTAGACATTTCCCTCCCCCACCTCCAGTCCTGCTCACTAGAGTGACATCTTGAGCCTGATCCTGCTGCATTAAAAAAAAAAAAAAAAAGTGCCTACAACGGGCCCTCCGGTGCTGATCTCCGCTGAGATGTGGCAGATGGCAGAGCCTGACTGAGCAGCAGCGGCCCCTCCTCTCCGGCCTGGGAGCTGCCAAGACTTAGAAAAGGGGCCTTTATATACCTTTCCACTCTCTTGTACCCCTCACCTACCCCGGTTTCCCCAAACCAGCATCCTCTCACCCATTGCAGACGCCGCCCGGCACGGTTTAGCTGCTCTGGACCTGTGTGTGTCTTCCCTATCCCTGTCCTTATGAAAGGCACCCACGGATGCAGTTGGATTCAGAGTCCATCCGGGAGTCCAGGTTCACTGGCCAGGCCTTCTGTGTACCCCATGCACTCAGCCCTCCTCAAAGTGTGAGGAAGAAATGGGTCACGCACGGCCCCGGCCCCAGGGACTCACGCGCGGGTCCAGTCCAAGGCGGGCACTTTTCACACTCCCAGTTCCCAGGGGTGCCAGCCAGCGAGGCCCGCAGGCCATCCAGGCTGATGAGAAACTGGCCTGTCGGTGGAGGTGACCTGAAGATGGGGCAGGGGGAGAAATCGGGTGTGTGGGCTGGGGCGATGGGCCGGGACTGGGGAGTGCCCCTGGCTGCATTCTCTGATCGTCCTGTGATGTGTACGGGTAGAGGTCCCCGGGGTTCTGTACACACGCACCCTCAGCGTGCCACGGGGGCTTCCAGGGTGCAGAAGTGAGATTCTGGGCCCCAGCAGCAGCGGGAATGCGACCAAGGGCCCGGTTTCTTGGCCAGAATCAAGGGAAACAAAAGTGAATGTCTTTCCGTAGGTGTCATCTTCTGTCGGCTTGACAGGCTCCAGCCTTCCCTGTGGGTTTTCCCCGGCACATTCCTCCCGCAGCAGGACTGAGTGCCCGGGGCCAGTGCCCCTGCTGCCCGGCCCAGGCATGGCAGGAGCCTGCCCGCAGTGCGGGCCTCGGTGCCAAACAGTTCCAGCTGCTTCACGCGTCGGTGCCACACAGTTCCAGCTGCTTCACGCGGCCCCACTCACAACGGCCCGCTGGCAGGAAGGATGGTCCTCGCTTTACAGATGGGGAAACGGGGACACAAAGGTGTTCAGTCACTTGCCCAAGGTCAACCTGGCCCCGGACCCCGTGTTCTCAGCGGCTGCGCTCACAGCCGACCCTGAAAGAGAGAAACCAGCCTCTCTCTCCCCAGGAGGGCCAAGGCATGCTGGGAGCCCCGGGAGTCGGTGGGGGGATGGGGGGGGGGCGATGGCACTGGCCCCACACTGACATGATGCCACGTTCCAGGCCAGTTTGCTCCTCACAGTCGCCCGTGAGCAGGTGCGGAGACCCAGGGGCGAGGTGACCAGTCAAGATCCCATAACAACTCAGGCCCAAGCCCAGCTCCCTTGAAACACATCCCAGCTGGGCGTGGTCATGCTTCGACCCCAAGGCGGGGAGCCCAGGCGCCCTGGGACGGAGCAGGCCCCTCTTCCCCGGGTGGGGCCACCCCGCAAGCCGTAAACGCGACGTGGGGCCAGGAACGAAGGGAAGAGCAGCTGCTGGGTGAGGAGCCAGAGGCCCCGCTTTCCCTGTGACTCCCCGTGCCCCCCACTGTGCCCCCGGAGCTAACTGGGGTCTCTTCTGGCCCGAGGACCAGCATGTGGGGATGCGAACGGCGCAGCAGCCTGTCCCCCTGTTGTCACCTTCTCTCCCAAGCTGGCAGAGCGGAGGCTGTGCTCACACCCCAGCCCAACAAGGCCGATTGGGGAGTCAGGACGCTGGGCCCAGGTAGCTCACTGGATACACCTCAGGGGAAGGGTCTCCTGCCCCTGGGGAGCCTCCAGCCCCCCTGGACTGGGCCATGTGGCCCTTCCCCTCAGGAGCCTCCAATCTGAGGGGCAGACGGCTCCTGTGTCCAGCTTCTTGTTAGTCAAGCGGGGGGGGACACCTCCACATCTCCTACTGCCCCACGTTGGCAGGTACATGGCACTCCAGACTCAGCCTGAGTCAGAGCGAGGGGCAGGCTCTTTAGAGGGGGCCGTGGGTGTGAGGGGACCACAGAGGAAACAAGAGGGGTGCAGAGCTGCAGCCCGATGCTGGCAGAGAGGATGGGGTAGGAAACGGGGAGCCAACCGGCTGGGACTGGGGGAGGGGGGGCGTGTTCATCAGAGCGAACCATGGAGCCTCCCGGCTTCAGCTTTCGAAGAGAACCTTTGGGTTGGGAGTGACGGGGCCTCGGGACTCCTCCTCTTCCCCCAGAGTTTCTCCTTCCTGTTGGGGGCTTCCTCCTTCCACTCCGGCCACTGACGTCACACGGGCCCAGCAGAACATGTCCTTTTAGGCACCGGCTCACATGTGAACCGAAGCCCCTTCCCCGGGGGCTCCCGGCACCTGGAGACCAGCTGGAACTTAGAGGCTTTAGGAAACAATCGCTGTTGAATGAAAAGCACTGAGGACAGAAGGGGATTAATGTGTGATGGCCACAGGCTTAACAATAGCCCAGCCCGGCGAGCCTGGGTTTCCGAAGCTGCCCCGGCTAAGACTTGGCAACCTCTGAGCTGGCCTGGCTCCTTCCTTCTGCCTCTGAGGGAGGAGGAGCCATCGAAACCCAGAGCAAAGAGGGGGTGTCCTTCCTAACCCCAAGAAACTACATGGCCCCTCAAAGCCCACCTAGTCATTCCCTTTCGTCCCCACTCTCCGGTGGATGACACCTGGAGGACAGTCCCTGTGTGCAGGGGCCTGGCTTTCCTTTGGTGGGTGCAGAGATCCGCCACCCCCGTTTCTTAAGCCACGACAATTCGGGAGGAATCAGAACCACGCCTGCTCCTATGCAGGATCCTACCCGGGCCAGGGTCTCGGGAGAGCTCAGTTCCGTGTTTAAACAGCCGGTGCTGGTCTCCGTGTAAACACAAAACCCACATTGGCAGCTTCAGGCTCGAGAGCCTGGTACTCTGCTCCCAAAGGCCCGGTTTGCCCCACTCCCCCGCTTGGCTGTGGACCAAGGCCGCGCACGGCCGCGCTGGCTGCCCCGTGCAGTCTGTGCCCACCGGACCCCGGGTCCCCCCACCGATGGGAGGGCAGCCAGCACTCTGCCCTGTCAACCGTTCCCCTCCCGCCACAGGCCCCCTTCTGCATCGGACTTCCAAGGCTGTGTTGTCGCAGGTAATTAAAGGGTTTTAATTAAATTAGGATCCCATCTGGCTGGGATCAGTCAGGCCCTTAACGAGGATTGTGTGTCAGCAACATCAGAATGTGGATGGGGACCCAGACCTGTGGGGGCTGAATGGGGGGACTGGAAGCCTTTCAGACGGGGGTGAAGAATCCCTCTGAGCCCCTGGCGGCTCCCTGCCAGGCAGCAGCCAGTTGTTCCACCTCCCGGAATGGAGGCCGCGCGCCTTGATGGCGGAGACCAGCGCTTCCCCTTGTTTGTTCTTGCCTGCGAGTCTATAAAACCTCTGAGGTGTGGCAAGAGATGTGAGCACGGTCTCAATTCTACAGGCGAGGAAACGGGCATCCACAGGAGTGAGATGCTCAAACACACCCACCCAATCAGGTGGAACGAGACTTAACCGCTAGAAATGGAGAGCCAATCAGATAGAAACTTGGTAGGAAGTAGATAGAAATTTGCGTTTTCTCTAGTGGAACAGTCTGGAAGTAGGCAGCCTCGGGCTGGTGTGATATTTCTCTCCCACCAAGTTTTCAGGGAACAAGATGTTGCCCGTCATTTCTAGGCTATGGTTTTTGTCCTCGTGGCCCAAGATGGCAGCGGGAGCTCCAGCGATCACATCCATATTCCAGGCAGCAGGATGGAAGATGGAACAAAGAAGAAGGGCCACACTTAAGGTTTCTGGAAGTTGCCAAATAACCCCTTTGCTATGTTACTGCTCATGTCTTAGTCCCATGGCCACATTTGGTGCAAGGGAGGCAGAGAGATGTGTTTATTTCAGGCAGCCACGTGCCCACCTAAAACCTGAGGATGTCGTTACCATGGAAAAGGGGGGATGGATATTAGGGAACAATGAGCGGTCTCTGCCACATGCATGATGGAGCAGAACCAGGTCTCCCACCTCTGGCCCGAGCCCTTTCACCTACCCGCCAGGAGCGGGGCTGAAGTTAATGCCAACTCATCTCCAAAAACAAAGAGGAGGAAGCAGCATTTGTTAAGCAGCTCGGTTAATTTTCCCAACAATGCTGCAAGGGAGGGAGGGGCCAGTTTTTCACATAGGGCGGGTCTGGGAGGTTATATCATTTGTCCACGCCACCCCCCAGCTACAAACTACAGACCCAGGGGTGGGACCCAGATATATCTTCCCACAGCACTCAGGTGGCCAGCTCACGGGAACTGCCAGCCTGTCCCTTGGGACCATCCAGCGGGGTGGCCCTGAGACGATGAGCTGGGAGACTCGGCCAGGCGTCCTTCGCTTGGATGGTTATCAGGTCAGCCTTTGACCTTGGCAGGCCAGCAGGAAACATGGTCCCCTGTGGGACCAGAAGCCAGCCCCCCGCTGCTGAGTGCCAGGTCTCCTCTGGCATTTGTGCCTCTGTGGAGAGCGGCTACAGCGTTTGGACAGGTTCAAGCCTCGGACTAAATGAGAGGGCACAGTCCTCTCGTGGCAAAGCCTATAGTTCAGTGGTTCTCAACCTTCCTAATGCCGCGACCCTTTAATACAATTCCTCATGTTGTGGTGACCCCCAACCATAAAATTATTTTCGTTGCTACTTCATCACTGTAATTTTGCTACTGTTATGAATCGTCATGTAAATATCTGATATGCAGGATGTATTTTCATTGTTACAAATGGAACATAATTAAAGCATAGTGATTAATCACAAAACAATATGTAATTATATATGTGTTTTCCAATGGTCTTAGGCGACCCCTGTGAAAGGGTCGTTAGACCCCCAGGTTGAGAACCGGTGCTATAGCTGGTGCCAAAGGCTATGGTTGCAAGCTTGACCTTATGGTCCCAACCTGTGGTCCCAGGTGGCTGAGTGATGTGGGCTGCTGGAGGTGCAGCAAGTGCTGCCCAAACAAAGCTTGATAGAGTTCAGGTGCATGTAATTGAGTAGATTTGAAACCCGCGAGCACATTGTAAACACGCCCTTACTTTGCCTCCTGGAATCTGGCTATAAAATAAAGACTCGGCTTGCAGGCTGTGGTACTGTCTCTCCATCAGAGAGCAGCGTCCCACCTAGCCCCAGCTTTATTCTCTTGTCTGTCTTCTTTAATCCTTCACTGCCCCCCTCCCTAAGGTTCACCCCTTACAGTGCTGAGCGCGGCACATGCCTCAGTGACAGGGCGGCAGCTTCACAAGCATGTCAAACTCACATCCCGCAGGCCGCATGCCTCGTTTATTTGGCCCGTGTTAGCCTTTGAGTTTGACATGCTTGATCTAGGACTCTGGCAGGTGCCGCCCCCACCTGATCTTGCCTCTGCCCTGTGGGCTGGTGGTGCCTCCCCTCACCTGTCCCCAGCCCCGGTTCTCCCCACAGAACCATAGAGGACTCAGAGTCCTAAGAAGGAACGTCTCTCTCCCACCCCCAGCCATGACATTGGGTCACTTTCCAACACAGAGCAACTGGTTCTGTGTCCCCTACAGCCCCTTACACACATCACTCGATAATCCAGGCCCCTGGTTACCCACAACCTTCGGCTGCCTCTACCCCGCACCCCCTCCCCCCTGTCACACACACCCTTCTCTGAGCTTCCCTACCCACCCACTGCCTCGTGCATCTCTGAGCAATGGGCCTTGACAAAGGAGTGCCACATGCAAGGTCACTGGTATTCCTGCCAAGGAGGGGCGGGGGGGTGGGGGGGGTGACTCAGTTCCCGCTTGCTCATCCCAGGAAAGGAGAAAGAGGGGGAGGGAGGAGGGAGGAGGCAGGAGGGACTCAGGAAGACTCAGCTTGCTGCCGGTGACCTGATGTGTACTCCCTCCCATTGGCTTCACAGACTGCCGGGAGAGTCACCCCGTTAGGGATCGGAATGCTGAGGCCCGAGCAGCGCCGGTGCCAAGTCCCAAGGGCAGAGCCGCTCTCCAGGTGTCCGACGCCCGGAAAAGAACAGGAACTGTCACGTTGCAGCTCCTGCCCTCAGAGACACTCCATTCTGAGGACAGCACAGACCCTGGCCCCGGTCTGATGCAGAGATACCAAGCCATGACCTCAAAGAGCCCCGTCTGGGAGGCCTGTCCTGGGATGGAGGAGGCGAGGACCTGTCCTGGGGTGGCCCCCACTAGTCTGAGCAGCGGGGGCAGGGCCAGGGCCAGCAGCCTGGTCACTGCAGGGCCGTGGCGGGGGGAGGACGCAGGGTGGGGGCGAGGGCAGGGCCCAGAGCTTCTCCTGGGAGAGGAGCCGAGCTCCCTCCTGAGGGGCCTGCTCCCCTGTGCGAGCATGACTGGTAAGAGGGGGACCATCTCCCAGGGGACACCGTAGACGTTGCTCACCAGTTGGATGGACCCCTCACCCTTGAGGACCGACGGGCTGCAGAAGTATCGTGATGGCAAGAGGAGTGGGGCCCAGCGGCTGATTCCAAAAGAATTCCGATTTTGGAGGAATTCTGTCAGCAAGATCTAGCTGAGCAGAGCGCCCGGGGATGGGGAAGGCAGGAAAGGAGGACGAGACGGCGGAGTGTGCGCGCCGGTGAGATGAAGTTATTAAAATGAACCCACCCCCTGCGCGGGCAGAACTGCGTGCCAGGCTGGCCGGCCCTCCAGCTGTCGGCAGCATCTGGCTCTCCACGGGAGGAAGGAGCCAGGGGCTGGGGGGTCAGAGCGCCCCCGGTCCTGCTGTAGGTCAGCCAGGCCCCGCGGAGGAGGGCCCAGGACCACCACTTGCTGCTGCCCCGCTCTTGTCCTCCAGCACCCACCGGGCCGTGGGAGGGGGTCCTGGCTGGTGTCGGTGGGTGGGCACCTGCAGGTGAGACAACCCCAAGTCCCCTGCGGCAGGGCCGGGCCCCTGGGCCTCTCTGAACACTAAGTCCCCGTCCCCAGGGCGGGAAGGAGAGAGTGGTGTGGGGCAGTGGGGGTGTCTCAGGCTCTGGCCCAGGAGCGATGGCCCAGGAAACCCGGTGCAGGGCCAAGAGGCTGGGATAGGAGTGTGAGCTCATCACGCGCCCTTTCTGGGTCACGTCATACGAGGCGGCTTCTAAGGCCCCGTCCAGCTCTGCTCTGCACCGTGAGGGGCACTGGCCCGTGCTGAGTGCTGCTGGGCAGGGAAGACAGGCTGGGGGTGGCGAGACCATCTGCCCCGCATGCCAGGACACTCCTGACCGGGGCTGCATGGCCAAAAGGGACCCAGGGTGCTACCTCCCAAAAGGGCAGAGCTAGAACGACCTCCAGAGAGGACACTGTGATCTTGGTAGTGAGGGCCCAGCCTTCCCCCTCCCTAAGCCCCGAAGGGCCCAGCCACCTCCCAGGTGAGGTGCCCCGGGCAGCCATCATTCTGAGGGTCTCCTGTGGACTGCGGCAGGGGCATGGCTGCTTTTAAGCCCCGTGTGCCCCGATCCATCCTGGCCTGTTCCTTCACCAGCAGGTCATGAGACTGAAAACCCAACCCCCCGATTCTCTGAAAGGACCCTTCCCAGGAGCAGCAGGTGCAAGGCGCAGCCGGGAGAGGGCATCAGAGGCGTCGCCGCATCCAGGCAGCCGAGCCAGAAAGGACCTTCGAGGTCATCCGAGCGGTCCTCCAAGTGTGACCCCTGAGCCAGGAGCGCTGGCCTCTACCTGGGCACGGGTTAGATGGGGACATTCTTGGGCCCCACCCAAACCTCTGTGGGATTGAAACCCAGAAATCTGTTTTAACAAACCGTCTCGGTGGTTCAGAGGCCCATCTACTATATTCGAGACCCTCTGGGCTGGGCCAGCTCCTCATTTTATAGAAAAGAAATGAGAGTGGACTTGCCCGAGGCCACAGGGCAAAACACTGCCGGATCTGGGACCCACACTGGGCCCACCCAGACGGCAATCCAGGGAGGTCACCAGGAACACCCTTCTATGGCCCATCCCACCTACCAGCTCTCCCCTCCACCCCAGCTGCTTTTGCAGATGCCACCCCATCGGCTCCCACAGCTGTCCGAGCCCTGCAGCTCTGGGCCCCAGCACATGGCCTGCCACCATCTGAGAAATGCTGGCTGGACCCCAGGGCCCTTTCCCCTGACAAGGATCCAATGCCCGGGAAAGCTTTATTCCCTGCTCCAAGAACAAGACTCTGCACACAGAAGCTGACAATCAGGTGATTTCACAAGACCCCTGCCCCCCCACCCCCCACAGACAGACACCACGGAACAGGGCCGGCACACCCTCCATAGCCTGGCCTCCCCCAGCCCCACAGCCAAGGGCGAGGCAACATCTCCATCAGCCCCAGTGCGCCAGGCAAGACTACCGAAGGGTGGCTCACCGGACAAGATGCTCGCAGAGGAGCCGGCAGGGGGTGGGGCAGAGGAGGGCCACAGCGCACAGGCGGGCTGCGCCTATGGCCTTGGTGCTGGGAGAGCCACGGTCACCCTCTGTCTCGGCTGCAGGAAGGGCACGAGGAGGGTGGAAGAGCGAGGCCGAAGAGGGGATTTTGGAAAGGGGTGGCCTGGCTGGAGGCAGATGATCGATTTGTCACGACATCAAAGACTCCAAAGTCACCACGTCAGCCTCAAGCCCAGCTCAGTCCACCGTTCAGGACAAGGGGCTCAGGGCTGCCCACTGAGAGGGCCTGGGGAGCTCCTCCTGCCTCCGCCCCCAGGACTGGCTCCCAGGAGGCCCCGCGTCAGCCATCCTTCACTACCTCCTCGGTGTCCACACTGACGAAATAGCCCTCTCCTTGTTGCTGTCCTGTCTCCGGGTGGCAGGGGTGGAGCCACGGTTTTAGGCTCGTCTCCATGACTTTATTGGGGCCTCGCTGGTCTGCCAGCCCCAGGGGCCTCCTGGACACAGCATCCGCCTGTCGCTCAGTGGGGACACCCGGGAGGCTGCTCGGAGACTCAGCCTCCAGTGCGCCTGCGTCCTAGGGACTCGCTCCACGACCTCAGGATAGAGGCCAGCACGTGGGACCCCTTCCGGAACACGTGAGACTTGGCTCCACCCACTCCCTGCCTGAGGCTCCTCCCCTTCCCTGCCCAGTGTCCAGACAGATGGCCAGGCCTGTGGGCAGCCTGCCCTTCCAGCCCCGGCCTGGCCTCTGTGGCCCGCCCAGAGTCAGCCGGAGGGGTAGTAGGGAGCATCGCTGTGGTAGTTGTAATCTGGGCACACCTTCTGGACCAGCCTGTAGTCCGTGCTGTAGAAGGCGATGTAGACACAGACGACTTTGAAGGGCTGCGAGCAGCTCCAGGTGGCTGAGCTCTGAGCGTGGTCTCGGGAGCAGGTCTTGGCTGGGTCGTGGGTGCAGAGCGAGGTCCGGCGACCCCGTTCCACCTTCTCCCACTCCATTCGGCAGTTGAAGATTTTGGAGGCCTTGGCTTCGATGTAGATCTGCTGTTCCTGGTGGAACTCCACGGCTTTACTGGGGGGCACCAGGCTGATGGAGATGTTGCCCTGGCCCGTGGCGTTGTGTCGGAAGTGGACGCTGAAGGTCCCGTTCCCGTGGTCCACGATCTTCCCGGTGACAAGCAGGTTCAGGGCGACCGTCTTGATGTTGGAGTAGAAGTCGCCCCAGCCAAAGATTTTCTTCACCTTGGCTGACGGCGGGGGGCTATGCTTCGGGTGGTTGGGGGGCTGCCCAAGGAACCCCCAGGCCTCCCCAGGTGGAGCCAGCAGCCCCAGGAGAGTAGAGCTGGTCATGGGGCGGGACTTCGGTGGGATGTGGCCCCGCTTCCGAGGCATCCGGGGCCGGGGCTGGCTCTCGGGGTCATCATGCTCAGGGTCCTCGGAGCCGGGGGGACCGTCATCCTGGCCACAGATGACCTGTGGGAGGAGTTGTGATGAGTGTGAGAGCTCTGTCCCCAGGAGTTCTGGTCCATTGCTCCCACTGCCAGCATCATCCCTCGCCCTGTCTCTCCCAGACTTGGCACTGAGGGGTCCCTGCACTGCCCACTCATGCGGGGGGCTGGGTGTATCCTCTGACTGGTGTCAGGGTCCCATCTCCTCCCCGCCACCTCCTCTCCCCACTTTCTTGCCTCTGACCATTATTTAAAGTCTAAAAGGATGGAGGAGCATTCTCTCCAGTGGACCACGGCTCCAGGGATACGGGGTCCCCCAGCTCCTGCTCTTGGGAGAGCTGCTGTGTGAAGGCAGCAGCATATCCCTGCGCTGATAGAGCCCCAGGCGAAGGAGCGGTGGAGCGAAACCCAGGCTGATGGGGGAGGCACCGTCTCTGCCCTCAGAGAGCCCCACCTCAGATGGAAGAGCTCCATCCCTATGATGGGGGAGCCCCCAGGTGGACAGAGAGGTACAGCCCTTGCCTCCGGGGACTTCCTAGTCTGCTGGGAAGATGGGACACCATCCTGTCCTAGGACAGTTTCTACCCCCAGAGGCCATGGGAACCAGCAGACAGTGGAGCAGGAAACGGAGCCCAGGGACCTTCTCTCTCAAGTATAAATACAGCAGGACTGTGGGGAGACCTGGAGTGACTTTCACCCTGAGGATGGCCCAGGGCGTGGAAAGCCTAACCCTCCCACGGGGACCCTGAGGACAGGCCAGGGCCTTGCTTGCACGATGGGGGAGGCGTTATCACTCCCATTCCACAGATGAGGACATCAGCACTCAAAGGTTACATCACCAGGAGGCGAAGTCACATGGGGTCAGCCCTCCCACTTCACCACACACTCCCAGCCTCACAGACCAGACGAGTCCTTCCATAGGGGTTTGATCCAAGCCCCATCCCCACCCCGAATCTCCTGTAAAACTGCCAAGGCTCTGCTGGACCAGCTCTGGCAGCCGGCGACCGGGGCGGCTTCCTGGAGGGGGGGGGGGGGGGGGAGAAGGGGGGGCCAGCAGGGCACCATGACCGAGCTGCTCCGGACAGCTCTGGAGGGCGTCCAGGAGGCCAGGTTTCCTGAGGGCAGCCGCCTGACGTGTGTCTGCTCAGCTTTTGACCAGAGCACTCACCCGAAGTGTCTATGTCACCAGCACCAGGGGCACCACGCACAGCTGGGTGGTATCTGGATTTGCTGGCATCCCTGGGGTGAGGATGGGGGATGCCTGAGGGCTCGGGTCTGGAGGACTCCAAAGGGGTTTGGGGTCTTCATGCCCCCTGTTCTGGCTCTGGTCATGCCCGGGGAGGTGTGCAGTGACCCTGCCCGCCAGGCCCCAGGGGTGGGTGGGGCAGCAGGAGGGGAGGCTGGGGGTAGGGGGTGGACTAAAGGCTGCAGATCTGTGTGTGCTTGGCCCCAGGGGTCACAGCGGAACGGGTGGAGGATGGGGAGAAGGGCCGCAGGTGGGGTGTGAGAGGCAACGGGGATTATTGCTTAGAGGAAAGGGGCAGGTCCAGATGTGGGGCTGAGGCTTCTCCACGACAGGATGGGGGGTGGGGCGCGGACGGCGGGCGCTGGGTCGGCGGGAGTTAAGCCCTACGCTGGGGCCTGGGGTGGGGTTCCCCGGTGTCCTGGGCCCCCGGGCAGCCATGGGCGACAGCACGGGGAGCAGCTCTGGGCGCCCGGCTCAGCTGCCGCGAGCGCCCGGGGCGGGAGCCGCCTGCCCAGGTCCTGTGGGGCTCGGGCTGCGCGCAGCCGGGAGAAGAGAGGAAAACAACACGCGGGGAGGGCGGGAGCGGGAGGAGCGGGAGCGAGGGACGCGGGGGCCAACCCCGCCTGGACCGGCTCCGAGCGCTGGGGGACCCACCGCCCGGGGCCCTCCGGGGCCCCGAGATCAGGAAAAAGCCCCAGCCCCTGGACCTGGCGGGCCACCAGCTCACAACTCACCCCCTCTCCCCCTCCAAGCGGCCCGGGCTCCTGGAAGGGGTCGGGTGACCCTCGGCGACCTAGCGGCCGGCCTTTTCGCAGCTGCAGGTCGCACCTCCCGCCACCAGCGGCCGAATGGGTGGGCCAGCCAAGCCTCCGCTCCCCGCCCCTATTAACCCGTTCCGTCCCTCCTCCGGCCTCGGACCCGCCCTCTCCCCCAGCCTCCAGGCGTTCCCTCCATCCCGGGGATGTGGGGGGGAAGGGAGAAAGTTTCCGGGCTCGGGAGCTTCCCGCGCTGTCCCCCCGTCCTCCGAGCCCCAGCCCGCCGCACAGCTCCCCGCGGACCGCTCACCAGATAGAGGCTGCCCTGCACGAGGAACACGAAGCAGCAGCGAGTCAGTTGCATCCTCCTCCTTGGCTCTCGCGCCCCTTTCTCTCCTCTTTTCCTCTCGGGGTCCCAGGGCTCTGCCGCACCCCGGCGCGTTTCAGGCGCGCCGTCCCATGCTCCGGCCGCCGGCGACTCGCGGCCCTGGCTCCTGCCCGTCGCCTGGGACCGACCCCGCCCCCTTCGGTCCAGCTGTGCAGCCGCCGCCCCCTTCCCCCGGTCCGGCTGAGCGCCGCGCGGCCCCCTCCGGAGGTCCCAGCTGTGCGCCTCGAGGGGTCCCAGATGCGCGGCGGCTCTGCCGCTCCAGACCCGCGCTCGGCGGCCCCTTGGGTTCCAGCGGCGCCGCTCTCGCCCAGATGTGCTGGGGACCCGCGCGCGCGCCCGTCCCTAGTGCTAATTCCCCAGACCAGACGGCCCCTCCCGCCCCGTCGCGGCGCGCCCCCTGGCGGACGCCCCTGGCCGCGCCGAACCCGGCCGCCGCTCCCGGCGCAGCACCCGCCAGACTGGAGCGCTCGCGGCGCCCAGGCGACTCCCGCTTCCTCGTTCCTCCTACCAGCGGCGACGGCTGCGAGCTGCGGCGGCAGGTACCGTGAGCTCCCCCCGCCCTCCCCCGCCCTCCCCGCCTCGTATCTCCCGGAGTTAACTCCCTACCCTGCCGGCCTGGCCCGCAGCTCGGGGACCCAGGACAAAGGGGGCAAGACTCGGGGGCGGAGAAATTCTTGGAAATGCAGTGAGAGGGTGGTGACCCGGGCTAGGGACCCTACCTTCTCCACCCCTCGAGCAGGGCCTTGGCATCTGCTGCTCCACCCTCAGCCCCAGAAGCCCTGGGATCTGGAAAAACAACAACAAACAACTTCCTTATTGCAGCCGCTCCCCACAGCCGAAAGGCCACTTTCTGTCTGCAAGACTCGCTTCTGTGCGGAGGGAAGTTCTTCTGGGTGTCTAGCCTGTACTCCCTTTGTTATCATGTCAGTCCCTTTCCTTTCCTACTTTACAGTTATTTGGTGTAACTGTTCTCCTTCCCGCCTCCAACACACACACGTTTGGCTAAAGCCCTGTGCTGACAAGGCCGCTAGGGGTTAAGCCGGGGGTCTGGGGCTGGTCAGGGGTGAGCCTCCTGCGAAGCTGGGTAGTGAAGTGGACAAGGGCTCCATGGAGGCTGTTCCTGTTCTTCACTCGCATGGACCCTGTGACCCAGGCAGTCGCTAGGCTGGGATGAGGGGCTCCTATTCTGCCGGGCCCCTGGTTATGTCTAGTTTCTGTAAACTTCCAGGGCAAGGAGGAAGCACAGGACCCCGATATGAGATTCCCAAAGATGGGACCCCCCCCCCACTAATCTTCACATCTCCTTCCTGGAATGTAGGGCTCTTTAGTCCTTAGAAAAAGCAAAGGCCAGGTCCTAGCACCCTGCAAAGGCTGTGAAGGC